GTGACTCCTCCTGCACTGCGGAATGGAGGCCGCAAGGGTGAGGCGACTGACGAAGGAAAGAACCTGTCGGGCTGTCGGCCATAGCAGCCTTTCCAGACCACGCATTAACTATCATTTTCGGGGGTAACTTTTCTTCTTTAAGATGTTTACCCAGCGACCCACGCCATGCACTAAGTGTATCATTTTTCTTAGATTGTCGGTTTCCTTCCTTTATAGGTGTTTACTCAGGGATGAAGAGGGGATTCGGAGGGATATAACGAATGTGCATGCCTGAAGGTAATATGCCTGCTGGCTGATTCGCCCCGCCAACTTCCGTAGTTGGACTGTATACCGCACGCACGCGTGCGGGGGGGCTTTGCCTATAGTGTCGGACCCTGGCGCCTCCGGCCCGACCCAGTAGGCAACCCGCCAGCGCGCGTGCCTGCGGTACAGTTTAACCGCGGATACGGACGGGGCGGATCAGCCACCTGGGTTATGACTTCTCTTATTAACACATCTTACTCCCAGAGTATACTTTTTAACCAGAAAAATATGTAACCCACCCTCTAAAAATGGCACATACCCAGTATGGTAAGATTGCTCTGGCCTCTGGCCGAGGTAACTTTACCATGATGTTCTGAAATAATTTTTGGCTAAAACCTGAACGTTTGTCTGCAGTTATTACAGACCCGTGAAAATGCACCCCTTCCCCCACCTATCTCAGTTTAAAATAAAGCATCACGAGCATGAAGACAATTTATGTGAAGGAGCAAAAACGCGACGCTACTACATGACTTCCCCATGGTATAGCAGCGTCAACACTTTAAAAACAAATTTGCGAATCCCTACCTTTAAGAGGCACTAAATGTGACCTTTCACGCCTTTAGCTGGCTAGCTTCATATGAGTTCCATACAAGAGTAGTGCATTTGGAAAGGCACGAAGCTTTAGTGCCCCAGGAAAGGCACTGAACTGCGCGCCCTTGACTTTAGTGCCCCGGGAAAGGTGTTGTTCAGTGCGTTTGTTTTACCTTTACCAGTGAAACCCCGCGGAGCACAAGTGTACGACGAGGACCCTCGCGGCGCACCCGCGGCCCGCCCGCGGCCCGCCGGGCGGTCCATTCATAACGGGCATCATACAGTATCTCTATGCCCCCGCGAGCCGCCCGGACCGCAAACGAAATGGAAAGGAAACTGGATTGGTCACCAGCTGGTCACTGGCCGCCCTGGCTGCCCCAACGCTGCTGCTCTGAATTAGTCTTCTATATATCCCGCCGTGCCGCGCCGGGGCTCCGGGCCCGCTGCTGCTGCTGGCCGGCTGGCCGCTCCGGGGCCCCGACGTGCGACTTCCGTGTGCGTTCCATTCGAGTCCATTAGGCGGAGCGCAGTAGGGGCGGCGCGGTGCGGGGCGGGCCGGACCCGGCCGGACATCGAATTTAACACGTTTGTCCGCATTGTGAGCGCGCCCGCGGGCCGGGGTGGTCTAGTTAGCCTGCGAGGTAACATGTGCGGAGGTCTGTCTGTGACTAGTGTGACTAGTTCCCAACGCGCGTGGATGAAATTACAGGGCAGGTTGTGTGGAAAATGGTAGGGGGCCAATCAAAAATCTTTTAGTTTTCCATTGAAAAGTATCACGGACTCCCGGACTCCTCCTTTAGTCAAGTCTATACCACCAACTGTCCCCGGCAGTCGAGCAGGATTCTCCACAATTGAGGATTATCGCGTCAGGAGTGTGTCATTTCCAGTGTGTTTTGCTTTCAAAATCAATACGTATGCAATTTATTTCCTTTTTTTACAGTCGGCTGCACCCGGATAGCGCGCTGCTGCTGGGGAGCGCCGCCTGGCGCCACGCGTACGTCACGTGGGCGGGCGTTTGCATCACACGCCTCACCTCACCGCGGAGAGGCGTGAAGGGACGCGTCGCGGTCATACGCACCGCACGTAGAACGTTTTCCTTATATCTTTCCCTCCCCTTTCCCTACTTCTCCCAATACTTTTTCCCCCATAATGTGCCCCGCGTGCGTGTCTCTCTCCCCCGCCGAGCGAGCGTTGCCGCCACCGCACCGTTTGTTGTCGTCCGTCGTCCTCGCCGCGGGCTGTTTGGCAAACGCGACGCGCACCACCTTCTCCTCCTGCCCCCCACCTCCCCCGTCCTCGTGAGAAGGGAACAAGCGGCACACGTCCGTACATCTGCCCGCACCGCTGATGTCGTCCATCGTCCACCTTTTCCCATGCGGTTTAATGCCGCGTTTTGTTCCAGATGGCCGTGCCCGGCCGGGTCTCCGTGGGGTGCTGTGTGCTTTAGCAGTGCTGCTGCTGCGGCCGCTCGCTCCTCCGCGCACGCCTTTCGCCGGACCGGACCGGGGGCCCCGAGCCGCTCGGCTCGGGAGGTGCGGTAGGCCGGGTGGGCCCGGTGGGTGATCGCTCTGCTCTAACCCTTCACTTTCCCCGCCCCACCCCGCCCCGCCACGCCACGCCCAGGTAGGGATGACATACGACCAGGCCGTACCACCAGATGTGGCGCGCGCGGTTCAACAAGGTGGGGAAGTGAATAAGTTCCATGATGTTCTCTGCTTGTCGCCCTCGTTGGGCGGTGATGGTGGTGTTGATGGTGGTGGTGGGGTGGTGGGCCCACGAGCGCTGATTCCTAGCTGCTTATTCGGACCGTGTTTGAGCATCCATCGAGGTGCGGCCGCCACGCCCCGCCACGCCCCGCCACAGTCATCGCCCTCCCGTTGATGTATTCTGATTCCGAGTTATCCCACTTCCGTCCCCCGATCTACTCCACGCCCCGCCACGCCCCGCCACTCCACGCCACGCCCCGCGAGGGGAGAAGAGAGCACTCGGCCCGCACGCACCGGGTGCGGCGGAGCTCCGCTAGCGCCACCTCGCGCACAGGCTGCCTCCTTCCATCACTCGCACTCCTGCTCTCTACGCGTGCTTTTACTTCCCTGACTGATTTACCCCAAACCTCTTCGCTGCGCGCGATACATACTACTTCTACTGCTTCTCTAAACCTTACGTATGAGTTGTGTTGCGCCTCACTTTTGAGGTTTTATGACTGTTTACGACCCGCACTCTCCACCACAGTGGCCAAAAAGGCGTACCCGCTTTCCCTGTTTTGTTGATAACAGACCGTCCAGCTCAAGCAAGCAACACAAAAAGATCCCGTCCCTGTCGTCACGTGCACACCTCGGGGACGGCGAGAGCCACAGGCTGGAGCCAAGGAAGGAAGACAATTTTGTCGAGGAAGTCACAATGCCAGTGAATTATCTACCCTATGAACTCACCGTGCCGAACACGAACGTGACTTCAAACGTTATACTATTTTCTTCCTTTTGTCGCCCTAGATTTATGTCAAACTTTAAGGCGTTATCTAAGGGAAAAAAAAATCATTTGTAAATCTTTGCGAACGCCAGTGTCAGTCTAGGCCGTCTACAACCGGTGTCTGACAATTATTGTCAGGTCTAACTCGCTGACTTCACCCAAACATATCCCTTTACATCGGCGCAACGGTCGACCTCTCTCTTCACAGCTCACTGCCCGGCCCCACTGCCAGACCGGCCGCGCCTGCGCCACAGGTCGCCGTCCTCGCTGTAGAGCCAGATAAGTTGCCTGCACACCAGGCGTCGCCATGCCCGTCCGTTGTCCGTTGTGCCGTCAGTGTGGTTTGCTGCAGTTAGCATTTCAGAGAAATGTTTTCAATTCGCAAAGAGTGTGGGGGTTCTTTCAAAAACTTCGTCCGTTTTACTCAGATTACGGGAGCTCGTCGCCTGCGAGACTCAGCGTAGGCCACCCCGCAGTACACGCATGCACTGCACGCAATATGCTGCCTACCTGCCAGGCGCTATGATACCTTGCGCAGGCTGAACCCTGCTTCGTAACGGCGAATGATGGGTGTACTTTTTGCATGATTTTTGTATTGCTTCGCTCATACAAGTTACCGCAAATAATTCAACTCATCTCCATTTTAGGTGGTCTCAAGGTGGTCTCTAATTATTCGGGTGGGTCCCATTTACATTACTGTTGGCTGTGAGTCGATACGCAAAATTTCTTCTAACGTAACGTTTTGATCTAAGATGCGTCCTTACGCGCAGAGCGGCGGGGCTTACCGGAGCTTAACGCGGATTGGGCGGCTTAACGCGTTTCTCACTTCCTCATATCGCCGAGAGACTTGGAGGCGCAGGGCGGGCAGGGCTGCCCGAGTGACAGCCACGCACGGCGGCATGTCTCATCGCAGTATGGTCGCCAACCGAGGCACACGTCCGACGTGTTGCGTTTTACTCTCTATGGTGAGAAAATACGTACACAACTCTCACACATACACACACTTGCGAACACACACACACTGGCTTATGTCGCCGTGTGCGTGCGACGACATGGACCGCCAAACCTTATTTAGGGCTGAAGAAAGGAGGAACTGGGGGCGACCAGTTTGCCCCGCCTGTCCCCTGACCGGGTTCGGGCGGCAGATCGTAGCAAAGCGCCACTGCTGCTGCCGGTCGCGAGCTGTAGTAGTACTCCTGATTGATAGCACCGTAAACGGGCGGCGCTATGAAGTGAAAGTGATCTTGTATCGTAGCCATGCAGACCTCTCCACCACCTCACCCACCTCCCCGCGGGCCACGCCGGCCACGCCCACGTCCCCACGCGGTCCATTGGCCCCCGCGGGCCCCGCGCCGGCCAGTTCGCACGTCCGCAAACAGCGCAAGGTAGTTTCCCATCGCGGTCGGATCGGAAACACGCCCCTCCTTCCCCCTACCCCCTTCCCCCTTTTCCAATCTTCTTTAGGAAAGTAATCATCGGTCTCTATGCGTTTCCTCCTCCTCCTCCGTTTCGTGTGAGGCGATAGGGACGGGCCAATTTCATCATGATTATGCGACGTAACGCGCTTCCGATGGATTCGCCAGACGGGGGCGTTATAGCTCTCTCGCAGCTCACTCAGTCAGTTTTATCCATCAAAAAATTATGTTCCTTGTCTTGAGTTTTGCGGTAGTATGGGGTAAAACAGAGACACGGTGGGCAACAGTATGAAAAAGTCATTTATTCTTAAAACTACGCAACAACACGACAACAACAACTACCCTACATTTAAATAATCTCGCACCTAGGCGCCGCCCTTGCGGAGCCCTTCGCCCTGGTGCGATCGACTAGGACACTGGCCGGCAACAGTTTCCACGCCACCTCCCTCGTCTGCGGATACAAAACACATCCGTTTTTGTTGTTGTTTTTTGCGACGTTTTGAAATTCGCCCCTTGCCGTCGTGAGGGAGCATGTGTCGAAACTACTATTGCCAGTGCCGGGGACATGTGTGGCGGGCCGGGACAGGCTGCCCGACGGGCCCAACTACACGTTACAGCTTTGGGAGAGAACAGGGAGCACCGGATCGATGTGAGCCGGCCCCGTCATCAGTCGTACATCACAGACTACAGGACGGGCTCGCACTACGCCTTGATGATGGTCTTGTAGGCGTGCTGGTGCTGCGGCTGCTGGTGCTGGTGCTGCACGCGCGCGCCGTAGGTTCCGACCAGGCTGGCGGGGGTGGGCGGCGCCTCCAGGCCGACGGGGCCCTGGCTGTTCTGCTTCTGGACGAAGTGGGGAGGGCCGTCGTTCTGCGAGGAGGGTCCCTCGGGCTGCGGCGACTGGAACACGAGCTGCTGCTGCTCCGGGTAGAACCGGGTCTGGGGCTGGTGCAGCTGGGGCTGCTGCAGCTGGATGTGGTGCAGCTGGTGGTGGTTGGGCTGCGCCTGGTGCAGCTGCGGCTGTGCCTGGTGCAGCTGTGGCTGCGCCACCTGGCCGTGCTGGGGTCCCGCGTAGAAGGTGATGAGCTGCTGGGGCTGCTGGGCGAGCAGGGGGTGGCCGAAGTACTGGAAGCCGTTGGCGGCCACGGGGCCAGCCTGCGCGGGGGCGGCGGCCGGCGCGGACAGGACCATGACGTACTGCTGCGGCTGCTGGTGGTGGTGGGCCGACTGCTCGGGCTGGCCGGCGGACTGCTGGCCGGAGGCGGGCTGCGCGTGGTGAGCCTGGGCTGGCTGGGGCTGGGGGATCAGGTACATGAGGGGAGCCTGGTACTGCGGCATCTGGAAGTACGGCTGGGGCACGTACTGCAGCTGCGAACGGAGGATTGTCATTAGCGGGGGGCTCGAGGGGTACTACTCACACTCACTGGGGTACTTCATTAATACTCTAAGTTCCGCTAGTACTCACCACGTGCTGCTTGGAGGGCGCGTGGTACTTGGAGTGCAGTAGAGGCGGCAGTGCGGGCAGCGCGGGTTGGTACTGGTATTGGTACTGGGGCGCGATGAACGAGTACGGGTGGGGGGCGTACAGGGGCTGCTGGGGCTGTTGCTGCTGCTGCTGCAACTGTTGCTGGAGCTGTTGCTGCTGCTGCTGGTGGGTGCTGCTGTAGGTCGTCAGCTGCGGCTGCAGGGGCTGCAGGCTCTGGGGCGCGCTGCTCACCGTGTTGTCCACGATGGAGTTGCCGGACACGGGCGAGAGCCTCGCGGCCCCGCGCTTGGACACGGACTCAGACGCCTGGCTCTCCTGGTCGGTGACGCTGACCGGGCCGGGGCCGGCCTGCGCCTGCGCGCCTGCAGCGGCCGCCGCGGCGGGCTGGGGCTCGGGGCCGGGCTGGGGAGCCGGGCCGGCCACCGCCATGGCCAGGACGGCCAACACCACCACCTGCAACAGCGGGGAAAACAGGAGGGCATCAGCAGTTGCACCAGCGAAATTAGACCGTGCTCTATGTGCTCGTCGAAAGCAATGGATGTCAACCCATAGCGGTGACGTTCTTTTCCTTTTGTAAATGAACGACACAAGCTCGTGCAGAAACTACACTCTACACTCGCACGTTTTTGAGCCAAACATGTATCTGGATTCGCCCATTTGTTAAAATTTCGAAATCTTGTACTATGGCTTTTATAGTTCAATGTCGTTGTAAACAACAACAAAAACAGTTCTTGCGCACACTGTTAAAGTCGTACGAAGAAAAATGCCAAATCCTTTGTAATACGAAGGATTTGGACGCTTCGTAGGGAGCAAATCCTTCGTTGGTACGAAGCATTTGGCATTTTGCTTCGTAAGACTTTAACTGTGCACAATTTTGTCACTAGACCTCGAAATATTGGCCGTGTTGTCAAAGTTACAAAACACATGTCGGTAGAAAGTCCTCGTCACACCTGCCTACACTGGTCATTTTTAGACACGATCACTCCCTACGATGATGGCACGGTCGCACTTGTCACCAAACAGTCTTCATTTCCTTTTAGTCTTCCGTTCACTTGATGTCACTCACTTTGGGCACCACAACACAATAACACACAAAACACTTGCACTGCACTGCGGATAGACAAACACCGCCCCGCTGCTCTGCTCGGGGATACTCACAATGGTCTTCATGGGGATTGGGATACAGAGCGGGGCGCACTAGAGCACTCGGCCTGGCCTCGCCTAACGCCTGGCTGATTGTCGACTTGTCCAGGGACAGAGCCGTTGGGGCCTTTATAACCGCAGGCCCGCTCCAGCCGCCCGGCCCGCCCCACCCCTCGGCCCCACCGCGCCTGGAGACTGGGCGGGGCGGGGCGGGGCAGGGCGAGGCGGGGCGGGCTGGACCCGCTGTCCACTGCTCGACTTTTCTCTCCCCACCCCTCCAACCCCTTTTCTCCTTCCCTCTTCCCCTTTCTCCTCAGAATGTCCTTGCGCTGCCACAGCTGAGCTGCGTCCCTCGGCTGTCCCCGGGCCCCGCGATGAGGAGACACGGCGCATAGCCGACGGACGCAAATCCCCACTGCAGATTATCTGCGTGCGCAGTGCAAAGCCCCGGCGGTACGTACTGAAGGAGTGCAAGGTGGCACCAGACCAGAACCTGCGTGGCCGCGGCGTGGAGAATCGCGAAAATTTAATGTCCACCAGTTTGAAGGATCCGGCCGCCAGCTTCCACTTCTAGCCCCACTAGTTCGGCTCGGCCCGGATCCGGCCCGGATCTGCGGGAGTGGCTGACGGAGTGGAGCACTCCGCATGGCAGGTATAGGATGCTGCTTGGTATTCGGTCCCGCATGACGCATACATTAGGCGACGGGGCGACGCCGGCCAGCCTCTCTCTCTCTCTCGACAGCATGCTTCCCCTCGATATTGCTCTCCTTGTCCCCTGTCTCTCTCTCTCCTCCTCTCTGTCTCTCTCTCTGCAGCCGATGCAGGGCCCAAGCAACCTGTTGAGGGAAATTCAGGGCGAAGTTACGCAACAAACAAGAGCAGCGCCGCCGGGGGGACGGCGGGGCGGGAGCGTGTGGGGGCTGTGCTCTCCTCCGTACTACCAAGGGCGGCACCGAGCCCTCCCGCCAAACATCCCAGCAGGCGAATCGTTTGCGCCGCTCCATGCTGTTCGCGTGTGTGTGTGTTGCCTACGAGATTTTGTGCGTCACCCCGCTGCGCTATGTCCGGTCCGCCCTCCCTGCTCTGCTGTGTGTGTTTGTGTGTGCGTGCGCGTGTTGCCGGCCTGTCCGCTCTGTCCGCTATAATGTCGACATGTCACGTAATCCCTGGTTTATCGGCGTCGAGAGCTCGAGGGGGCAGGAGCTGCTCGGAGCCTCGGAGCGAAGCGGCGCCCCGGGCGAGACACTTTGCGCCGGACTCCACCACCGCTCATGCACGATCGTCTCTTCATTACGCGGACGCGCGTGTCCCCCTGGTCTCTGGCTGCGCGCACAAACGTTGCGTGCGTGCAGGCCGGGATGCACCGAGCTACGACCACGATGTGGCCACACGACACCGTAAGGACTAATTGGGCGAGGTAATTGGATTGTTATTGGAGGTGTGCGAAAGGAGGAGAATGTGGTGGGTTCGTTCCGGCCGACCTGCCCTGTGCTGCTGCGCGCGGAGCGAGGGCCTGCGACCCGGTCTTACGCACGGACGCGGTGGTGTGACCTGGCGACCGAGACATTTCATAGGTCTATCTCTGAGTGGCATTGGGCAAGGCAAAGGCACTCGCGCACTCCGAGCATGTCGCGTGTTTTGAGTGGATGTGTGTGTGTGTGTGTGTGTGTGTGTGTCTGGGCGAGTAAAGTGTATAGTGCACTGTGTAGCTACGAGGGTTCTCCAGGTATCTGCTACCTCTGTGCCAACCTTTCGGTTTCGAAATCAAAAAATCTCGAGTTGCTCCTTAAACGCTAACACTAATCTTTTCCCTTTCGGTCTTCTCACCCAGATCAGTCGAATAGTCAATGAAAAATCAATGTCGCACACTTGCCCATTCGTACACTTCAGGGAGTAAGAGCGTGAATTTTCCTTCGAAATCAACCCATATTTGTGCCTTCATGGGTACGAATAATGTGAGTTCACACACCTACACGTGCGACACATTCACACACTTGGATTTCGGTGGAATTCACGCCGAGCCCCCCCCCCAGCACGGATGAGTAATAACGCGGCAATCAGAGCGCGCGCACATAGTCAATACAGAGATAAAAAGACGCGAGCGTTAAACTTTAATGCGCCGTGTGTGCGGTGAGCTGAGGGCGAAGCGTTTCGCAGACAGTTTTATGGGAAAACGGTTAGTTATATGACTTGGCGGGCCAGGGACCCGCCGCCGCTGCCGCGTGAGGCCGCAGGAGCTGCTGGGCCAAGGAGCAAAAGCCAGAGTCGTCAGTCGTCGTCATCATCGAGGCGAACAGCATCCCCTCGTCGGCCGCCGCTGCAGCAGCGCACTGGGTCAGGACGAGGGGGTCAGCGCGCGGCCAGGCCGATGGCGCGCCAAGCACCACGCCGAGCACGCCGGGCCCGTGGCCTGTGATTACCCCCCCCCCTCACTCCGCAGGGCCAGGCCGACGGCGAGCCGAGCACCGCGCCGAGCACGCCGGGCCCGTGGCCTGTGATTACCCCCCCCCCCTCCTCACTCCAGCCCTCCCCTCACTGCAGTTGCAGTAATGTAAGAATCGGACGCTGGGCTGGGGGGACTCGATCGGGTCCACGCCGCCCCGCCGCCCTGCCATACGGCCACGGCGATTGGTGTGGCCAGGTCCCGGCCCGGTCAGTCCGCCGGGCAAGACTTGCCAACGAAAAAAAAAAATTGATAATGGTGTTTGCTTCCGGCGCTTGTGCAGGCCGCCGTCACTCCTGCTGTCGGTGAGCCGAGCTGAGCAGCAGCAGGGCCGTATGGCGGAGCAGTTGAGCCGGTACGGGTGTGCAGGGCGGGGTAGGCAGGCCGATGAGACCCAGATGCCGAAAATGGTCCGAAACAATGGAGGAAGTAAGTAGGTGTGTGCACATTCCTTTTGCTCGCCGTTTGGTTGGGGGGTCGTAATATTTTACGATAGCTCGTCGCGGAAAGGGAAAGTGGAGGGGGAGAGAGGGAATGGGAGGGGTGGTCGGAGAGGCGTCGCGAAAAGGGATCATCCAGAAAGTGTGTCCCCCCTCATTCGCCGTCACGAACCTGTCAAGCTCTCATAGCGCCTGGTTGGTAGGCAATATCTTGCCTGCAGTGCATATGTGTATTGCGGCGTGGCCTAACCCGAGTCTCGCAGGCGCTGAGCTCCCGAAACTTGCCGAATTAATCTGAGAGTAACGGACGTCCTTTCTCAACCACCTTATAACCCAGCGGGTTATCGGGTTAAGCCTCAAGGTGTGGGGCTGGGAACGGAGGATGGTGCATGAAGGCCGCTACATCATAGTAAGGAAGAGATGTTGTCGGGAAACTCATCGAACGCAGGTATTCATCAGTTTTTGAAACAAATCAAACGGTGCCGATTTTGCACCACCACTCGTTGTTCTTCCTTTCGGTTCCGGAACAGGTATATTGCGGCCTCCTCCAGGTTGGGCCCCATTACAACTCTCCGGACGGAATCATTATAATTATTGCGTGAGCTTCTCGCCGGATATATCGACGGGCCGCAGACACCCGAGCCGCCCCGGTTATGAGAACTAGACGGTCCTGGGTAATGGGCGGCTTGGGCTTGGGCGCGGGGCGGGTCGACACCTTGCGCGACGCCGTGGCCCACACCACCGGCCGCCTAGCTCGGCGGGACGTGATTTAGACAGCTCCTCATCGCCCTCGTAATTTCTCCCACCTGGAAAGTCAAGTCCATTTAACGACACCACCTCCCTCCCCGCCACTCCTGTTCTTTTCAGTCATAGGGCTCCGCGGGCCCCACTATCTCCCGGACCCGGACAACACGTCGTCGAAATGGAGTGGAAGTGTTTGAACGGTTTGATTTCCCACGAAGATAGGCTGGGTATCACTTTATTCGCGTGGTCGAATGGTCCTCTGGCGGGACGGGCTGGTGTACGTACGAGTCGAGAGTTTCGAGTCAGACAAAGAGAGACACAGAAAGAGAGAGGGGCAGAGACAGAGCGGCGGGCCGTGGATTTGATTTAGAGTAGGACAGAGCGACACTGGGATTGGACCCCTGGCGCGCGCGAAGGCGTCGCCGCGCCACGCCAGCCCAGGCTCGCGTCTGATTCGCGAGGACGGAAACACACTTACACTCCCGCTCGCACACGCACGCACCGCCACGACAAGGCAGCGCGACTAACTGGACCGATTCCGTTACGATGGCGACGAGCTGCGGGCGGGGCG